ACATTGTAGTGGTTTTTGCCATACATTGACGTGACTCAGCCATGGATTTACATTCCATAGGCTCTCTCATCCCAGTGGGTCAATCCTCAGGGTAATTTGATTCACCACGATATGCCTACTTATTTAATCTCATCAAAAACCCATCTTTAAAAAAACTCTGTTTCTTAGTTTTCCATCCATAACAAGAAAAGGGTGATAATTGTATGAGTACATTTTTTTCAGCCAAACAACTGCTGCATTTTGTCATTTAAAACTCTAGACCTTTCTTTCATTCAACCATCAGGGTTTATAGTGACGTAGTGATCTGTCTGCAGGAAGTCATATGTCACATTATTAGGTTGCCCTATAGGGAGTATTTCCCAGAAATTCCACCCCAAATAATATTTTTAGAGTAGATGTATCCTGGAAGATGTGTTAAAATTTACTGTCCTTTTACTACAGTTCTGCTCAGTCATTAACAATGGGTACAGTTCCTCATCATATTGTACAATCAAAAGGTCTTCCAGATGATGCCACTCAGATTTTAAAAATTCTGTTTAACCTTATAAGATTCCAAAAGCAGGGGTGGTCTCAGTCAACATACAACTTCACCTTCTTTGGCATCTGCTTGTTGCTGTTTAACCACTAAGTCGTGTCTGATTTTACAACCCCATGGACTGTAGCATGTCAGTCTCCTCTGTCCTCCACTATCTCCCAGAGTTTGATCAAAGTCATGTCCATTGAGTCGGTGATGCTATCTAAGTGTCTCATCCTCTGCTAACCCATTCTCTTTTTGCCTTCAATCCTTCCCAGCATCAGGATCTTTTCCAATGAGTCAGTTCTTTAGGTGCCAAAGTTAAGCTTCAGCAACAGTCCTTCCAATGTATAGTCAGGGTTTATTTCCTTAGGATTGACTGGTTTAGTCTCCTTGCAGTCCACGAGACTCTCAAAAGCTTTTTCTAATACCACAATTCAAAAGCATCAATTATTTGGCACTCAGCCTTTTTTATGGTCCAACTCTGACATCATACATGACTCTGGAAAAACCAGAGCTTTGACTACATGGTCTATCTGGTGTAATTGGGCTAAGAAACAATATTATGTTTTGCTTCCAGCTGCATTAAAGGACCCAAGGTAATGTTGGATTTCCCTCTGTGCACAATTCATTTATTCATTCTTTTGTCCTCAGCTACTATGTCTTCTTCTCTCCATTTGTCACTGATTTGAACCTAAACTTTTCCAACTTTGGAAGGAGCATTAGGTCTAGCCACTGTGCTGGTCTAGACTTCAAAGAGAAATACCAGTCTAGCAAGTACTTTCCCCTCTGTCCGTTCTCATTTATAGAGAGGACTAGTGCAAACACTACACAATGCAGCTGCATTCACTCTAAAGCCAAATTTTGCCAAATGGGTAAAGGCACAATTCATCTAAGACATTGGCCCAAATGCTTCTTCTGGGATAAACAGAATCTGTGGGCAACCAGGCCTGAAGCATGCTGCTGCTTCCAGAAAATGTTACAAACCCCTGTATACTCCAAATTTGGCCTTGGATATAATTATAAATGAAGTGTCCCTAATTCTCTGAACTCATTCATAAAGCTTCAGACCTAATGGAAAGTGAAATCCAAATGGCCATTGTTCAAGTAGCATGGGCCATGGTGGAATTTTATGAGTAGTTAGTGAGATGACTCAGCAAACAAAGTAGCATGCCAAAATCATCACCCTTCCAAAACTTTTGGAAGCATCAGGAGAAGGAAATACAAAAAAGACAGTTCAAGATCACCTTGTAGTCTTTGGATTGTATATGTGTCAAGAATATGTGACAGAATAAATCACAACAAGGTCTTTTTTGTCTTGCTTCTTAGAGTAATGAAATAAAAACAAAAATAAACATATTGGATATACTTAAAAGCCTTTGCTCAGCAAAGGAAACCATAAACAAACTGAAAAGACAACTCTCAGAATGGGAGAAAATATTTGCAAATGAGGCAACCAACAAGGCATTAATTTCCAAAACATACAAACAGCTCATTGAACTCAGTATCAAAATAGTAAACAACCTAATAAAATATTAGGTGGAAGATCCAAATAGATATCCCCCCCCCAAAAAAAAAGAGACATACAGGTGGCCAAAAGATGAGAAGATGAAAGGCCAAAAGCATGAAAAGATGCTTAACATCACTAATTTTTAAAGAAATGCAGATCAAAGCAACAATGATACAAAGTTACAAAAGCTATTATCTCGCACTGGCCAAATCAGCCATCATAAGAAAATCTACAAACAATAAATGCTGGACAGGGTATAGAGAGAAGGGAACCCTCTTGCACTGTTTGTGGGGATGTAAATTGGTACAGCCACTATGGAGAATGGTATAGAGTTTCCTTAAAAAAAACTAAAAATGGAAACACAGTATGACTTAGCAGTCCCATTCCTTGTGCATATACTTGGAAAAAAACTATAAATTGAAATGATACATGCATGCCAAAGTTCATTGCAGCACCATTTACTATAGCCAAGACATAGAAGCAACCTAAATGTCCATCAACAGAGGAATGGATAAAGAAGATGTGGTACATATGTACAGTGGAATATTACTCAGCATAAAAAGAATGATGTAATGTCATTTGCAACAACAGGAATGGACCTAGAGATTTTCATACTGAGTGAAGGAAGTCTGACCAAAAAAAAGACAAATATCATATGATACTGTTTATATGCAAAATCAAAAAAAAAGGTACAAATGAACTTGTTGGCAAAACAGAAGTAGAAAACAAACTTTGGTTACCTGGGAGTAAGGAGGGGAGAGGGTTAAATTGGGAGACTGGAATTGACATATACACATTACTGTTTTTTAAAAAAATTGTCTTTAAGTGGAGGATAATTGCTTTACTATGTTACGTTGGTTTCTGCTGAATCAGTCTTAAGTATACATGTATCCCCTCCCTCTCGAGCCTCCCCGCCACCACCGCCCTCCATCCTATCCCTGTGGGTTGTCGCAGAGCACTGGGCTGAGCACCCTGTGTTATATACCAGCTCCCCATTGGTTACCTATTTTATGCATTGTAGAGTACATGTGTCAGTGCTGCTTCTGCTGCTGCTAAGTAGCTTCAGTCGTGTCCGACTCTGTGCGACCCCGTAGACGGCAACCCACCAGGCTCCGCCGTCCCTGGGATTCTCCAGGCAAGAACACTGGAGTGGGTTGCCTTTTCCTTCTCCAGTGCATGGAAGTGAAAAGTGAAAGTGAAGTTGCTCAGTCCGACTCTTGGCGACCCCATGGACTGCAACCCACCAGGCTCCTCCGTCCATGGGATTTTCCAGGCACGAGTACTGGAGTGGGGCGCCAACGCCTTCTCTGATGTCAGGGCTACTCTCTCAATTAACCCCACTTTCACCTTTCCCTGTTGTGTCCCTAAGTCCATTCTATATATAAAATAGTTAATTGAAAAGGACCTAGTGTATAGCACAGGGAAATCTACTCAGTACTCTCTGTAATGGCCTATATGGGAAAAGAATCTATAAAAAGAGTGTACACACACACACACACACACACACACACACACATGTCCGACTCTTGGCGACCCCATGGACTGCAACCCACCAGGCTCCTCCGTCCATGGGATTTTCCAGGCAAGAGTACTGGAGTAGTGCGCCATCGCCTTCTCTGATGTCAGGGCTACTCTCTCAATTAACCTCACCTTCACCTTTCCCTGTTGTGTCCCTAGTCCATTCTATATATAAAATAGTTAATTGAAAAAGACCTAGTGTATAGCACAGGGAAATCTACTCAGTACTCTCTGTAATGGCCTATATGGGAAAAGAATCTATAAAAAGAATGTACACACACACACACACACACACACATCAGTTATATGATTCACTTTGTTGTATACCTGAAAATAACACAAGATTACAAATCATCTATACTCCAATAAAAATTTAAAAACATACTACGAGTCAGAAAGCCTTTACAGAGTGTATCAAAATAGAAGAATCACTTCAAGAAACTAGAACCCCTCTGATCATTACTGTTATTTATAGTTAGAAGGGGGCAGACGAAGAAGGATTTGCATAGAAGGGTTTATTACATGAGGCCCATGTGTCAGATCATATGAGGATGTAACTGCTTATAATCAAATGCCTCCTTGTGTGGGTACCTGTAAAGTAAAAATTAGTGAAGAAAACCAGAATATCAGGTTCAAGAATGTAGGGATGATGTTTTTTTAAATTTTTTATTTTTAATTTACAGGATAATTACTTTACAATATTGTGATGGTTTCTGCCATACATCAACATGAATCCCCAGTAGGTATACATATGCCCCCTCCCTCTTGAACCCCTCTCTCACTTCCCCCCATCCCACCCTCTAGGATGTCACAGAGCACTGGCTTTGAGTTCCCTGCATCATATATTGAACTCCCACCGGCTATCTATTTTGCATATGGTCATGCATATGTTTCAATGCTATTCTCTCATATCATCCCACCCTCTCCTTCCCCATTGTGAAAGACAAATATCGTATATTAATGCATATGTAAGGAATCTAGAATAATACTGATGATCCTACTTGCAAAACAGCAGAGAACACACATTTAGAAGTTATGTTTTTTGGAATAAACTGGAATCTTGGAGGCAGTGCACACAGTCTTGGAGGTGGCTTGGAACAAGCAGAACTCAGTCCACTACCAGAGAAGAAATCTGTTCCAGATATGGCTGCCCGAATGACAGGCTCTGACCTCTATTACACAATAGCTATTGCCATTCCAAGGATTCCTCCTAGATGTAATCACACACACATACACACACACACACACCCCTCTAGAAGCCCAGGGTACCAGAATTAGACAGGTGCCATCTATACTAACTACTCTCTAACTGCAAATCCTATTCATTATAGGAGAGAAAAGAATGGGGCACAGTCGGCCAATGACACCAACATCCACGAGTGCGCTTTAAAGTGTTTTAATAGAGGTAGAAAGGGAAAGAGTTATTTCTTCAAATCCAGGTTCTCCCCTCAGATGAACCCCAAGCAACTGAGATCCAGTAAAGCTGCTAAGGCCTTCTGCAGAACTCATAGCTCAGAAGACTGTTCAGAGTAAGGAAAACTTCATAGCACATATTTTTAGGGTGGAAATAAGAGAGGCTGTGACTCAGGGAGAGAAAATACTCATTGCAAGATATACACAATGAAGACAGAGAAACAAAAGGGAGGAAGGTGTTCAATATCTGGAGGTTGGTTCCTCAAGGGCATAGCTGTGAACCATGTTACTTCTGGTTGTCCTTCTGCTGGTTTGGGCCTGGAATGACCACTGCGGGGTATGACTCAGGCACCTTGGTATTTCCAGGCTGAGGGACGTTGGTGTAGACTGGCTCCGTAACTTTGATGGGACATGGCTCCGGAAGTGTGGAATAGCCTTGCTCGGGAACCTTGGTGTTGTCCAGTTGTGGAACCTTTGGAAGGCATGGCTCCTCAGTTATGGGAACAAATGGTTCCTGAGGTGGAGGTGGAGGCTGGCAGGGCTGTTTCACCTGCTGCTGCTCAGGCTCTGGGGGTGGGGTGAAGGGCTGCTTCTGCTGGTAGGAACTCATGCTTCAAAGGAGGCTGGACCTAGAGACAGAAAAGCTCATTTAGTAGTTTAGTAAAACAAGGAGGAAGCCAAGTCTAATGACAAATATCTTAATTTCAAGCCCCTTAAGAAATGAGAACTTCTCTTCTCTTTATTTTTGTTTCCTTGAATTTGAGAATCAAAGGAAACTTTGGGGATTCCTGCACACTTTCAAGAGAAGTTTAAAGGTGGTTTATTTTGCTCCCATGGGAGTGGAGCCTTTCTCTTTGCTTCCTTTCTTCCTGTGTTTTTTCTGAAAACCTACATTAGCCACATAACATAACTTCAGGTTCCTAGGATTGATTGAAGCCCCCAGTTTACAATCAGTTGAAAAAGTGGTCAAGTTCGAAATCTGGGGTCTACCCTCTCATATCGCTCACATAGAGTGCCTCAGTTCTCATAGGAAAATCCATAAGCCCACACAACTCCGTCTATGAGCCTCTATTCACATTGTCTTCTTGGTGCGTGTTTCTGGAAGTCTTTCCATTCTGCTGTTACTTGTCCATACATGTTCACCGCTCATGGCTCTCCTCCCAGATCCCAAGTAATCTTTCTCATTCTGACTCAGCACAATACCTGCCTCATCCTCTCTATTCTATGTGCAGTATTTTTTTGTAAATTACTCCTATGTATTACATTCTCTGAGGGATCATAGGTTCAAGGAGTGAAGAAAAATGTATCTTTTGTACATCCAAATTGCCAATGCAGTGCCCTCGATTTTGCAGAGTCTAAAAATTAATGAGAGAATATTAAAATGTCACTAAAATTGCCCTGAACATGAGCTGTAGTCTATATCCTCTTGCAAACTGAACAGATGGTCAACAGAAACTATTCCCTCTTTCTGACCCAAAATTCCACAGCTGTAATCTAAGTGAGAAGTCATAAAGAACTATAGTCAACTTAAACATAAGTTACTTTGCATTTAGAATAAACATATCACAGCATGGCAAAGAGACCTTAATCAAAATACAATATCATTGGGCAAATATTAAGAAAATCCATGTGAGGAGTCTCACCCGGAGTGAAGAAACGTTTGAGTTGTCTGGTCTTCTGGGTCTGGTGAGAAATCTCTGGCCAGCTGGCATTTTATATAGAATATGAGCTTTGCCTTAAGGAAGTGGGATTTGGGGGTGCTAACCTGTCTTCATTCCAGCTTTAGTAGTGAAAATCTCTGGCTTAACATTTTGTGGGGCACTTATTGTTTGACAGTGATGTCAACTTTATTTGACAGGTCTGTTCTCATTGTCTACACTTTGTAGTGCTGTTGCTATGGGAAACAGGGTTCTTGGGTGGTGATAAGTTAAATCAGAGAGAAGTTCCAGGCTCCTGGGACCAGAAATAACCATGCCTGTTTAACAGGACCCTAATATTTAGCTCATATTAATTTTGTTGACCATTTTAATTTCCTAAGTGAATGTGGAGATGAACAATAGGCACTACTGCGTCTCCTGGGAGGCCATGGGAATGGTGGTAATAAGTGAAGCATCTGATATTCCATTTCTTAGTAGACCCAAACCTGGGAAAGGAAAGGACAAGTTAAAATGTATTCTTTGGAAATGCTTCCCTCTGAAGGGCCTTAAGATGCCACACTGACCATGCTGTGCATGTCATTGGGGATAGACAGTTAAGACTGGATCTGTTCAGCATGTTGGAACAGCCCTAAGACCCTGCTTCTCATGGGATCTCTCTTCTCTGTGGGCAACAAAGAATAAGAAAGACTGATTGTTTGAGTTCATGAACCAACCACATCCTCTGATCAGGATAAGGTGAAATAGAGGTCACTAATCCAAAGTTGACCTCAATGCACAATCTCTTACTAGGTGTGGCCCTTAGGAAATTCAAACATTCTTAAAATTCAGGTATGTGGATGGCTCCTCCCTTCCCACTGCTTTACCTCTCTTATCTCACATTAACCTGAGTCCCAGGCACAGCCACCACTGGGATCTCCTTTCATTAGTTCTCAGAAGCTCTAATTACACTTTAGCCTCATCCATTGTCTGGTAGATGTGCAATTATTGTTTTCCTTGATAGATGCATATGTTCATAGAAGAGAGAAAGGAAGGAAAGATTGAAGGAAAGAGGGAAAGAAGAAAGGGAGATATGAAGAAAGAAAGAAGGAAGGGGAGAGAGAGAGAAAGAGAAGAAAGCATTATTTTAGAAAGATATACATGAACTGCTTGCGTGCATGCTAAGTTGCTTCACTTGTGTCCGACTCCTTGCGGCCCTATGGACTGTAGCCTGCCAGGCTCCACTGCCCATGGAGATTCTCTTGGCAAGAATACTGGAATGGGTTGCCATTCCCTCCTCCGGGGGATCTTCCTGACCCAGAGATCGAAACTGCATCTCTTGCATCTCCTGCATTGGCAGGCAGGTTCTTTACCACTAGTGCTGCCTGGGAATGCCTTGAACTGCTTGAACAATCGTAATAAGGTGACTTCTTAGAAATGATTCACTATCTTATGACAGGCTTAACAGTGCGGGTTGAAGAGGTGAGGGTTCGTCATGCTCTTGCTCTGCTTCCTTCCCCACCCATGCCCTTCCCTCTCAGCTACTGTCTGACCAGCCATGACCCTCTAAGGTGGGGCCAGTGTCACTGTCACATCTAAGCTCTAGTCTCTGGTCTCACATTAGGTCTCCTCTCAGACTTGTCCAGGTCCCTCCCTTTCCTAAAACCACCTCTCAGAGCCCTTGACACAGGAATCTTTGCCCAAATCCTGCTGCTCTCCCTGGGGTTCTTATTTCCAGAGAAACTGCTTCCTGTTCCTCTGCATGAATCTGGGTCTTCCTCACGTCCTACACTGATTATTGACTTTGGTTCTAGAAGAAATTCCTTTCTCATTTCCTGACTCCCTTCTCTGGTGGACTCTCTTTTGCTCTGTCCTAATCCATGCCTTTTCACCCTAACAAAAGCCTCTCTGGCATCATCCACTAGACCCTCTAATTTACCCACAGTGTTGTTTCTCTTTAGACAAGACAAATCTTTGGCCAGTCACTGTGTGTTTCCCCTAACAATGTGACTCTATAGGGGCCAGTTTCCTTAAGGCATATAGCACTGGTGAAGAAACCAAACTTCTCTGAAGGATAGAAAGAGTGTCAACACCAAGCCAGTGAATATGCTTGTCCAAACAGAAACAACAGTGTGGGTAAATTAGAGGATCAAGGGGGACTTTTAATGTATTTGTAGAAATGCAGGCTTGAATAGTTAATGCTTCACAGCAACACCTTACCACTGGAATACATGAGTTGATAGACAACGCTTCCCCCTTTCATTCCCAGAGAAAACCCTTCTGAGGCACACTTTTTCATATTTAATATGTATAACTAAATATGAGTTTGGATGTGTACAAACACCTGTAATATCATCTTCACAGAAGAGAGACATATCCAACACTTCCAATGTGTTCCCCACTCCCCACTATTTTGTGGCGAGAAATTTATGTATTCTCTTAAATTTTAAGTACACTGTACCATATTGTTAACTAGAGCTATTATGTTGGAGAACTGATCTCTAGATTTTAATCATATAGGATAACTGAAACTTGATATGCATTGAATAACAATGCTCCATTTGCCCTACCATTTCACCCGTAGAAAACACCACTATACTCTCTGCTTCTATAAGTCTATTTTAAATGCCTCATATAAATGGAATCATACAGTATTTGTCCTCATGTAACTGGCTTATTTCACTTAGCCTAATGTTCTCCAGGTTTATCCATGTTGTTGAGAATGGCAAGATTACTTTCATTTTAAAGAGCGACTAGTATCCCACTTTGTTTATGTCAATATTTTCTCTGTCTATTAATCTGCTAATGGACAACTGTATTGTTTCCATATCTTGGCTACTATAAATAGTGCTAAAAAGGACATTGGTGTGTAGCTACCTCCTGGAGAGGATGATCTAAATTCTTTTGGATCAGTTCAGTTCAGTCACTCAGTTGTGTCTGACTCTGTGACCCCATGGACTGCAGCATGCCAGGATTCCCTGTCCTTCACTAACTCCCAGAGCTTGCTCAAACTCATGTCCGTCGAGTCGGTGATGCCATCTAACTACCTCATCTTTTCTTATCCCCTTCTCTTCCTGCCTTCAATCTTTCCCAGCATCAGAGTCTTTACCATGAGTCAATTCTTCACATTAGGTGGCCAAAGTATTGGAGCTTCAGCTTCAGCATCAGTCCTTCCAATGAACAGTAAGGACTGATTTCCTTTAGGATGTACTGGTTTGATTTCCTTGAAGTCCATGGGACTCTTAAGAGTATCCTCCAACACCACAGTTCAAAAACATCAACTCTTCGGTGCTCAGCTTTCTTTATCGTCCAACTTTCACACCCATACATGACAACTGGAAAAAAATAGCCTTGACTAGATGGACCTTTGTTGGCAAAGTAATGTCTCTGCTTTTAAATATGCTGTCTATGTTGGCCATAGCTTTTCTTCCAAGGAGCAATTGTATTAATTTCATGGTTGCAGTTGCCATCTGTAGTGATTTTGGAGCCCAAGAAAAAAAAAAGCCTATAACTGTTTCCATTGTTTCCCCATCTATTTGCCATGAAGTGGTGGGATTAGATGCCATGCTTTTAGTTTTATGAATGTTGAGTATTATGCCAACTTTTCCACTCTCCTCTTTCACTTTCATCAAGAGGCCCTTTATTTCTTCGCTTTCTGTAGTAAAGGTGGTGTCATCTGTGTNGATACGTGTATCTCTCTTTTTCTCCTTTGCCTTTCACTTTTCTTTTCTCAGCTATTTGTAAGGCCTCCTCAGACAACCATTTTGCCTCTTTGCATTTATTTTTCTTGGGGGTGGTCTTGATCACAGCTTCCTGTACAATGTCACGAACCTCTGTCCATAGTTCTTCAGTCACTCTGTCTCTCAGATCTAATCTCTGGAATCTATTTGTCATTTCCACTGTATAATCATAGGGATTTGATTTAGGTCATGCCTGAATGGTCTAGTGGTTTTCCCTGCTTTCTTCCCTGCTTTCCTTGATTTCTAAGTCT